TTTCGTACCCAGTTCTATATAATTTGTTATCTACTGTAGAATCCGTGGATAGATTTCACATGCTATTATGCAGTAAAGACCTTTGATATACTTTTGAAGAATTGTCGATAATGCTAGTAGCTAAATTGTTAGATAAGAGGACAATAAGCTTAGGATGCCACGTCATTTCACAGATCTCAAAAAAGTCACATTAAAGTGAAAAATCTGTTAGAATCTGTTGATAATTACAGTACATAAAGTTGAGTTTCTGAATAATAATGTATTAATGGATTTATAATAAAATTCTAATCTGCTTTGTTTCAAATGTGTTTGTAATTTATAACTCTACTTCCATGAATACCTGAAGTGGCTCATAACTGAAACACTTATGTGAGACTGTTAACTATAAATTCAGTGAGCAGAGATAAGTAATTATTTGGTACAGTGGGTGGGCAATTTAGAGAGCAATTTTCCCTTCCAGGGGATATTTGGCAATGTTTGAAGACATTTTTGGTTGTCACATTGGGGAAGCTGGGCAGGTGGATTACTACTGGTATGTAGAGGATAGAGGCCAGGGATGCTGCTAAATGTCCTATAACGCACAGACGTCCCTGCCCCCAGAGACTTACCTGGCTTTAAATATAGATAGTGTCACACTGGAAAACCCCTTGTATGCAGTGATAAGGTCTAAGGAGAAAAATTAAGCAGGGAAGGAGATAAGAAGGTATAGGTCGGCAGCAGTTGGAAGTTTCAGAAAGGTGGCCAATGAAGGCCTCATTAAGAAGGTGACCTCTGACCTAGGAACTGAAGGAGGGGAAGGAGTGAGCCGTGAGGATATTGAGAAGGAGCCTTCCAGGCAGAGGGAACAGCTAGTGCAAAGGCCCTGAGGCAGGAGCCTGCTTGCAGTGTTTGAGAAACAACGAGGCGCCTGGTGTGACTGAAGCAGAGGAAGCCTGGGCGAGGGATGGGAGTCTTGAGACTTAACTGGGTTCAGAGTGTGCGAGGTCATGCAGGCTGTTAGAGGATGCTGGGTGTGAGCCACGGGAGGGTTTTGAGCAGGGGAGGGACGAGATCTGACTTTGACATTTAAAGAATCACCCATGCTCTGGGTGGAGAAGGTGACGAGGGCAAGGGCAGAAGCCAGGCCAGCGGGGAGGCTTTTGTGATGACCCAGGTGACATCTCATTCGGTCCTCTCAGTAGCCCCAAGGCAGATCCTTCATGCCCGCACTTTAAGGATGAGAGCGTCGACACCCAGACGGCCAGGTTTGAACTCTGCGTGTCTGACTCTGGGCCTGGTGACCCTTGGCTGCTCTGCTGTGTCTGCATCCCCTCTTCATCCCTGATCTCCCTGCCTCTCCACACTCTCATAGCTCAGAATCGGGTGATCCTTCTCCTGTCCCCAGGGAGGCAGAGCCAACAGCTCATCATTTAAAGGTGCTGGTACCCGAATCCGACGTCCCCCAGAAATGCAGTCTGCAGGAGCACTTGCTCCCTACTGTTTGGTTCTGCACCCCGTATGCCCAGGCCGGGGCTCCCTGCCTCGTAGACGTTTTCCCAGGCGGGGCTTAAAGCCACAGCTGCTGGCTGTTGGGAAAATGTGGCCTTGGCACGCCCTCTGCTGGCCTATCTTGCGCACAGGCGCTGCCTGGTGGGAGACCTCCTTGTACCTGGTTCCCAGAAGACACCACCCTGGGCCTAGAAAGGCAGCTGGGAAGGCCCAGCCTCACCTTCTCCTTCTCAGATGAGGACCCCGGGGTCCAGTGCATCAGTTCACCAGTCACCATGATGCGCCAGGCTCTGGGTGCTGGGGGTCTGAAGCTCACTTTCTAGTTGGGGGAAGCAGATTGGGAAGAAGAAAGGAAAGAAGGAGGAGGAGAGATGAGCAGAAGGGGAGTTAATGCAGAAGGCTTAGAAGGTGATGGAATTTCTTTGGATTTAAATGTCAGAGATGGTCTCTCTGAGGTGACAGAGAGGTGACATTTCAGCTGATACCCGAGTACCAAGACAGCCAGCTAGGTAAATGGTCCGAAGGACAGCATGTGCACAGGTCCCGAATGGAGGCCAGTGGAGCAGGCCAGGGGGTGTGGGGACGAGGTCCCCGGGGCCCCATCCACAGGGCCTGGGACCTGGGAGCAGAGGGAGGGTTCAGGGGCACTGAGCAGGTGAGTAATGTAATTTGAGTTAGGTTCTCAAAGATAACTAGTAACAGGGGTCCCCTGGAGTCTGACTCGGTCCCCCCTAGGCCGTCCTGCTCTCTGCATCTCCTCTTTGTCCCTGGTAGCAGAGGGACCCCTGTGAAGAGCTGGTGTGGTCCCAGAGAGATGATGGCGTCTTGTATTGGGGGTGGTGAGGACGGTGGAAGGAGGTGGATGGATCTGGGGTATGTTTTTGGAGGTCAACCCATCAGAACTTGGTGATGGGCTGTGTATGGGGTGAAGGGAGAGAGAAGTCGAGAAGTCCTTAAAGGTTTGGGGTTTGGGGCTTGGGCAGCTGGGCAGATACTGGTGTGCTTTGCTGAGTTGGGGCCTACTGGAGGGGGCGTTGAGGAGGAAAATGAGAATTTTCATTTGGGCTCGTGAGGTTTGAGGTGGTCAAGTTGCATTGTGGACGTGGTCCGGGTGTGAGGGCCATCCGGCACATTGGAGCAGAGATGGATTCCGAGGTGCGGGACAAGCAAACGTGATTTCACGTTTGGGAGGTGCAGGTCAAGCAAACGTCATTTCACGTCTAGCCCTGGAGAGCCCAGTGCAGACCCTCAGCCTGGCATGTCGACTAGGGTTGAGTCACAGCACCTTGAAGTGACACACCAGGGTGGGGGGGGCATCTGAGACGTCTTCACCCTGTCTTCCTCCTGCAGAAGGAGGAACGGATCATGCTGGAGGACATCTGGGTGACCCTGTCGGAACTGGACAATGTCACCTTCTCTTTTAAGCAGCTGGACGAGAACTATGTGGCCAGTGAGTGATTCCTCCCACCCCACCATGACAGCGAGGGTCCGGGGGTGAAAGGGACTAATCAGGGGTCACCCTGCTCTTCCCCTGCCACCAGGCCAGTGGCCCAAGTTTGACCTGAAACCCAGCACTTTCAAAGCTCATGCTCCCAACATGAGTCTCAAAGCTGAACCTTGAAGACTTGTGGAAAAAGAGGAGTTTCTTTTTGTATAAACTCAGACATCTCTAATAGTTGTTATCTCTCATAACAATAGCCGGTACCTAATTATTACTAAAATTCTTAGATCCTTCTTTGAGATAAAGACTTATTACGATTTTCTAAGAGCTTATACTGTAATTAAGTTTCTTTTTTCTTCCTCCCCACCCATTCTTCCACATGTCCATCCACTTATCCACTCATTTCTTTACTCATCTATCCATCCACCCACCCATTCACCATCCACCCATATACCCCACCCACCCACTCACCCATTCACCATCCATCCTTCCATCCATCTGCCTGCCCCTCCACCTGCCTGCACATCCATCCATCCATCCATGATTGTGAGCTCGTAATATGTGTCAGGTGCAGTTTTAGGTTTTGGGGCCTCGGTGGAGAGAAATACAGCTCTGGTTCCTGCCGTCTGAGAGCTCACTGTCTAGCCCAGTGGGTCTCAGTCCTGGCTGCACTGGAATCATCTAGGGAGCTTTTTAAAGATACTGATGCCCCAGCCTCAGGCCTTGCCCTGGCGATTCAGAGTCTGCCGATGGGGCGGATCCTGGGCATTGGGATTTTCAACAGCCTTCTGGGTGACTTTGATGAACAGCCTGGACTGAGAGCCACTGGGCTGGGCTCTGGAGCTGCAGTGCTCCTAGTGTGGTCCCTGGACCAGCCGCACCCGGGAGCTTGTCAGAAAAGCAAGTTCTCAGGCCCCACCCCAGACCTGCCGAGCCCGGAAATCTATTAGCAAGCCCTCCCGGTGACTTCGAAGCATGCTAGCTTGAGAACCACTGCTCTGGATCAGTGTTTCTCAATGTTTAAAAATTCCCACCTCCATAAGGAGTCTAATCAATTAATTAATTTTTAATGGTGACACTGGTTAATGGAATCCGTTAAGTTTCCGGTTTAAAAATTCCCACCTCCATAAGGAGTCTAATCAGTTAATCAATTATTTTTTAATGGTGACATTGGTTAATGAAATCCGTTAAGTTTCCACTGTACATATTTTTTCACTTGTTAAAAAATATCCCCATGAAATTTTAATACCGCAGATACCCAGGCAGGGATGTTCCAGGATGCCACCCGAAGGTGGCTGGCAGGGGCTTCTCGGGCTGTCCCTCTGAGGTGGAAAGAATAGGGAGACCCCCTGGATGCCGCTCTGGGCTGTGCGGACCTGCAAGTCCCAGTAACACCTTGAGCCTCGGGACAAAGGGGTCTGAGCCACTGTCTGGGGTGGGGAGAACAGGGAGGGCCCCGGACCCGCAGCGGAGAGCTGAAGGAAGGTCTGACGCTGCCCCAACAGCGGTGGGGCAGGGCTCCCGCCAGCCTCAGCGTCACCTGGCCCCACTGTGTCCCCCCCACAGACACCAACGTCTTCTACCACATCGAGGGCAGCCGGCAGGCGCTGAAGGTCGTCTTCTACCTCGACGGCTACCACTTCTCGAAGCTGCCATCCCGCCTGGAGAGTGGGGCCAGCCTGAGGCTGCACACCGTGCTCTTCACAAAATGTGAGCTGTGGGCGCCAACCTGGGCCCAGGGGGCCGGCCACGGCCGCCCAGCACCACGGGTCCCAGCCACCAGCCTCCCTCTTTTCCCTCCACAGCTCTGGAGAACGCCGAGGGGCCGCCTCCCCCGGGCGGCCAGGCTGCGGAAGACTTGCAGCAGGAGATCAATGCCCAGTCCCTGGAGAAGATTCAGCAGTATTACCGCAAACTCAGGTGTCTGTCCATGCTACATGCTGGGGATAGGAGTCTGGACACAGCTATGGGGAGTGGATAGGAGCATAGTAGACACCAGACGGGTCCCCAGCGTGGGAGGGGACAAAATGCCTTTTCCTTTCCTGCACCTGCTGTGTGCCGGGTCCTCTGTACACACGAGCTCAGCAGATTGTCTCAGCAGTCACGGCCACTCTAACCCACTTTACAGACGAGGAGACTGAGGCCCAGAGTGTGTGTGCCCGGTGTGCCCAGCATCGTGCAGCTAGACCGTGGCTGGGCCGAGCCTGGAACTGGGCCTGTTGGCCTTCAGAGGGGGGCATTTCAACTGAGAAGAGCTGCCTGCTTCCTTCTGCATGGGGGCGGGAGTGGGGACAGCGGCCCTGGGGTTCTTGTGTCTGTGAGTAAGGGGTGTGACCCCAGGGCCTTGGCCCTGCTCAGAGGAGACCCCCTGAGAGAAGCAGAGGGCGCAGGGGCCGCATCCGCCAGGAGGAAGAGTCTCAGGCCCAGGGAAGCAGCTCCTGCTCCCGCCGCCCTCGCCCGGCCCTGCTCCTCACCTCCCTCTGTGAGAAACGCAGGCTGAGGATTGGGAGACTGGGCTTTTGGGGTGTGCGCTAAAGGCCGCACCATCTTGGGGCCTGGCTTTACCATTGGAAATGGGAGGATGATACTTTCATTTTTTTGTGGTGGGAGACTGGGCTTTTGGGGTGTGCGCTAAAGGCCACACCATCTTGGGGCCTGGCTTTACCATTTGGAAATGAGAGGATGATACTTTCATTTTTTTGTTGTTCAGGGAAAACATCCCGCTATATTATTAACACTGGCATCTCTTGGGTTTGATCGACACCATCAATCCGTTCTGAGCCCTTTGTTGAATATTTAAAATATCGCCTCTGCGATCATTGATTCGCCTTTCTTCATTCAGCACATGTTAATCGAGACCTTCTGTGGGCCACACCCTGTTCTGGGTGCTTGCTTGGGAGTCAGCAGTGACCAAACAAAGCCACTTCTTCATGGAGCACTGATTCTAGAGCAACAGTTGTCTGGCCCACCCTTCGTTTTGTCAGTAAAGTTTTATGAGCACACAGCCATGTTCATGCACGTGGTCATCATCTGTGGCTGCTTTTTGCTGCAGTGGCTGAGCTGAGTGGCATCTCAGTAGAGATTGGTCCACACAGCCTACAACAGTGACCGATTGGGCCTTTACAGAAGAAGTTGACTGAGCCCTGTCCTAGAGGGGGACTGAACATTAACCAGTGAACTAAGAGCAGTGTAACCTGTCAGTGGACGGGTGTTCAGAGGACAGATTTGGCAGGACAGGGGGACAGAGAGTGAGAGTGTCGGGTACTGATTTCATGGGCAGTTAGGGAGAGGTGGCATTTGAGGAGTGAGGGGTGCGTGGGAGGCCCCCTCTTGCTTCTCCCCGGGGCGCCGGAGGAACGCACAGGTGGCTGTGACAGTGGAGAGCTGTGCGAGGTGCCCTGAGCATTTTCCTTCTGAGAGCTGTTGGAGGGCAGAGGGGCTGTGGCCACAGTGGGGTTGGGGCTGCAAGGACAGCGGGCATGGCGGCCTTCCCTCACCCCTATCTTTCTCTCTCAGGGCATTTTACCTGGAACGGTCTAACCTGCCCACGGATGCCAGCACCACGGTGGTGAAGATAGACCAGGTGGTTCCCCTCCCCCTCCCCCTCCCCCTTCCCGCTGTGGAGCCTGGGCAGGGTGGGGGGCTCTCGGGTCACAGCTCAGCGGACAGGGCCAGGGTGGCACCCCAGCCAGAATCCTGGCAGAGCAGCCCGAGGCCTCTGCAGCGCCTCCTCCAGGAAGCCTCTGGGGCAGCTCCTTCCCCACTGTAGGAATCCCAGCTTCTCCCCACCCCTGTGGAATTCCTTCCATGACTTATTCGCATGGCACCCACTCCCCGGTGTCTCCCCAAGATCCTGGTTTACTGCAGCATTTCTCTGAGACTGGAGCCAGAAGTGGCCATGCAGCATTATTTTTGTTTACTTGTTTCGAATTTATTGCCAACATTTAAAAATCAAAACATTTCCCAGGAAATGGAGGCTTCTGGCTTTTCTTGAGACATGGGAAGACCTGGCTGCCCAGGGCCCACATCCCCATGTGTCACAGTTGGCCTTTTGAGGGCGCATGCTTCAGGCCTCTCACCCACTTCCCAGGCTCCAGCAGGCCTCAAATTTGACAATGGTTTTGGGGTACTGGCCTCGGGACCGTGAGGCTGGGGCCTCTAAGAGAAGTGATCAGCATAGCCCTTTGGGGGTTTGAGTTTGGCTGGGAGAATATTAAGGTGACAGGAGGAATTGTAAACCACCGTTTCGTGCCACTTCACTGAGGCCGAGACGGGGGCACACCTGGGCAGGTGAAGAGAATGAGATTGGAAGGTTAGGCCTGAAAGGTATCGCGAACACTGAATGTCAGCCTTGGGGCAGTGGGGAGCCACAGACGGTCCTCGAGTGGAGGTTGTAGAGGTTAATCGGGTTCTAACCCCCGGCGAGCTGGACCTGGAGGGAGACGGCGGGGTGGAAAGCTGGGCAGTGGCCCGCTCTGACCGGGTGTGTGCACGTGCGCCTCCCAGCTGATCCGCCCCATCAATGCCCTGGATGAGCTCTGCCGCCTCATGAAGTCCTCCGTCCACCCCAAGCCTGGTGCTGCTGGCAGCTTGGGCGCTGGCCTCATCCCCATCTCCTCCGAGCTCTGCTACCGCCTGGGGGCTTGCCAGATCGCCATGTGCGGCACGGGCATGCAGAGGTGAGCTCTGAGCTGGGCCCTGGGCGTGCCACAGAGAAAAAGTGGCAGAGATGCCCGCCGTGCGATGCTGACATGCTAGCGGGGTGCAGAGAGGGGAGCCGTCAGACACGGTGCGGGAGGGTTGGCAGCCGAGGGAAAGGATGAGCAGCTGGGAGGGGCGCAAGGAGGGGCGGGGTAGCTGGGAGGTCCTCGGAGAGACGACACCTGGGGGTAGGGAGCGAGTCCAGCAGTTATCTGGGGAGCAGGGCATTTCTGGGTCCTGAGGCAGGAGGTCGTCCTGGGACAGCAGGCCATGAGGCTGAGGGCCTGCCAGGCAGTGATGGTCAGGGGGATGGCGGGTTCCCAGGTGTGTGGGGTCTCAGGGGCCATGGTGGGACAGGACGTCACCCCCACCTAACCCGCCTGCCTTCTCACCCCTCGCCTGCAGGAGCACCCTGAGTGTCTCCCTAGAGCAGGCAGCCATCCTGGCTCGAAGCCACGGGCTGCTGCCCAAGTGCATCATGCAGGCCACGGACATCATGCGGAAGCAGGTGAGGTGGCTCTGCCCGCCAGGCCCCCCCGGGCTGCAGGGCGTCCTGGGCTGAGGGCGTCCTGGGCTGAGGGCATGATGCACCTCAGCTGGGGCCGGATGAGAGGCCCTCTGGGGGCTGGGTGGTCATCAGTCCCAGAGGTGGCCCTTCTTCCCATGTGGAGGGGGCCTGGGATTTCCGCTTCTGGGGCCTCCCAGTACCCCATTTCCTCACCCCACCGCACCCCTGTGCCCCTTCAAGTACCCTGAACTCCTTGCAGAGGCAGGTCACCGCCTCCGGGTTCTTTCTTCCCAGGGCCCCAGGGTGGAGATTCTGGCCAAAAATCTGCGGGTCAAGGATCAGATGCCCCAGGGTGCACCGCGGTGAGTAGCTGTCCCTTCCCTCCTCTCCCTCTTCTCTTCGGGAAAGCCGGGACCTGGGCCGGCATCAAGCTCCTGGCCTCATCTCAGGCAGACCCCCCTGGTAGTAAGATGGGCCTTCACGCCCCACTTTGGGGAGCGACAAATACGCTCAGGCCGTTGGCCCCAGAGGAGCTCCTGCTTTAGCTGAAGATGAGATGAGGCCCCAGAACAAGCCGTGGACAACAGTTTGGTACCATCCCCCACGTGCCTCACCTCCCCTTCCCTGCCACCCTGCTGCCCTCAGAGCCGCAGTCCAGCTGCCGCGTCCCGTCCTCACGACCCCAGCGTCTGCCCACGTCGATTGCAGACCAGCCCACGGCACCATGTGTGACCCTTTCCCCGCGAGCAATTCAGTCCATCTTCTCTGTCCATCCCTACTGCCCCAGTTTGCCATCAGCATCTGCCTACACTTTGTCCACAACAGTTTATTTTGAAATATTTTGGATCACAAGAATTCGCAAAAGTGGCACAGAGCGTTCCCGGGTGCCCCTCACAGCTCTCGCGTGACCGCGGGACTTTGTCAAAACCAGCCGATGGCAGCGCGCACGCCGACCTCACTGTGTTTCACCAGTTCTTAGGTGTACAATTTCAGCCTCGCTTCTTTTTAATACTTTTATATGTTAACTGACCCTGCTCCAAATGGTAATCCTGTGACCAAGATACCATTGTTGTCCCCAGTCGGTAGGTGGGGGATGCGGAGGCACAGAGAGATTGAGTATCTTGTCGGAGGTTGCACAGCTAACAAATGGCAGAGCTGGGATTCTGAACCCAGCTGTGGAGGCCTGGGGGCCAGGCTCCTAACCACTGTGCCGCCTGGCTTCTCCGTATGACCCGTGTCACCGTAGCTGCCTCCCGTCTGGTCTCCCTGCTGTCATTCGCCCCACAGCAGATCTGCCTGTCTCTCCTGCTTGGAACCCGTTAGTGGCTCCTTTTTACTCGGAGATGAAACTCAATTTCTGCCCGGCACAGACGTTGAGTAAAGTGTACGGTGAGGGGAGGCCCCTAACATATTAAGTGAGAAAACTCAAGGGGCAGAGCGCCGCGTCTAGTTTGCCCCCATGAGTTGGAAAAATATACACGCCCCCACACTTGTAAACATACACCGAGCACACGCATCTTAACGCACAAACACGCACACGCAGACACGTCTGTAATTGCAAAGCCCTCAGCAGTCTGGAGGGGGCAGAGACTGCCTATGGGGAGCGGACCAGACAGCTCGGGGAAAGTGTGGGCAGCATAAACATTTTTCTCTCTGCATTTTTTTTATACCTACTGAGTTTTGTTTTCTGGGAATGGATTATGTGTTTAAATAAAAATGGAAATACTAGTGGTAGGCCCCAGCCCGCCCCAGCCTCTCCTCATTGTCTTTGCCTCCAACCACTAGGCTCTACCGCCTCTGCCAGCCGCCGGTGGACGGAGACCTCTGAGCGCCGAGACGCACGGTGCTTGGCCGCGTCCTCTGGACCTGGGATTTGAGAAGACACACGGGCCCACGCTGGCCTTCTCCAGAGCTGGCCCAAGGCCCCCGTCCGCTCTGGGGTCTGCCTAGCCCTCTCCATCACCTCTTAGAAGGACAAGCAGTGTCCCCTCTCTCAGAAGAGCTGGCCAATCGGCCAGGGGCCGGCACATTCTCCACACTTGTGCCAAAAGTCCAAGAGGTGCTGGGAACCCACAGAGCTGATGGGTACAGCCAAGGCCGGGGCTCCTGCCCGCGAATCCCCAGGACACCGCGGAGAAGTCATGGGCGCTGCAGCTGGAGGCCCGCAGACTCGGCTCCCTCGGGATGGCTCAACCTGCACTTTTGAAACCGCTGGTTTCCCTGTAAGTCCACATTCCAGGTGACACACACGTCTCCTCCTCCTCCTCCTCACCTTCACTTCCAGATCCCCCCCAACTGTGTACTAACCTGCTGGGTGGACTCGGACAAGCCGGGCCTTTGCCAGGAGACACAGAGGGACAGGGCACATCACCTGTCACCAAGAGGACACCTGACGGCCACACCAGCTTCTGGCAGCACCGCCATTGGAACTTGAGCCATCAGGCCTGGCACGAGATTTGCTTTGACTTTATTTATATGGCGCGAAATCGCTATAGTTTATTTTGGAGTTTTACGTTGTCGGTGGTGTTGTCAAGACTTTTTTTTTTCCAGGTTTTGTGATTATATATTTGACATTTTAAATTTCAAAGAAAGGTATATTGTCTAACAGGGGACCAACATAAGGTAGTATTGACAGCTTTTCCCAGTGCTACTAAAAGGAAAAAAAAACTAAATTATTGAAAATTCGAAAAAAATCAGTATTTCATCTTTTTTAATATTAGGGTCATAAGGTATCACTCACGGCTATGGACTGTGATTCCTCCTCTCCCCACCCCCAACTCTCCAGCAGTCGGTCAAGTATTAGATTGAATTACTTTGCTCTCTTTGAATGACTGGCTACAGGGGTTTGAGAGGTGTCTAGGCTGGCTCTGGGCACTGGAGGGAGTTGAACCACTCACCTGAGATGCTGTTCCACACAGGTGTGTCCTACAAGTAGGAAGGCCACTGGGAAACGTTGGGTGGTGGCTTCTGTAATTTATTTTTTTGACGTTAGTTCAGAGCAGGGTGTTTGGGACTTCTCAGCCGGCCAGAGAGAGGAAGCCAACCTGGCCACTTTTGGGCACGAGGACCCGCCCAGGGACCGCCTCAGCAGTTTGTCCCCTCCAGCTCCTGCACCCCAGCAGATTGGTGTGGGTTTCTCACTGCCCCGGAGGTTTGAAGCCCCACCTGGGGCCCCCAGGGGCCACCTTCCTGAGCACTAGACTGCAAGAGGCAGGCTTATTGCTGGACACTGGCGACGCAGACACAAACGAGGACCTGCGTTAGCCCTGTGGGGGGAGGGGACAGAGAGGGGCCCCGGAAGGCAGGGGCCTCGTGCACTGGTTTACTTTAAAATGTACAGATTCTTCTCCTTAAATTCATGATAGATTTTTTTATTGTTATTAAAAGTCAGTTTATAATACAAACATCATGACCTGTCGTGGGTTCCTTTTGGGGCCGACCCTGGTGGTATGGGGGTGGCACGGTCACCCTCACCGCGAATGAGCAGGGGTTTCAAAGACTGCACGGAGGACAGTTCCACCCACACGGCCGGGGTCGTTGACACGGCCACCCTTAGGACCGTTGCCACCCTGAGCGAAGTTCCCTCCTCTAAAATGGGGACACTGTATATTTTCTCTGGCAGAAAATTCGTGAAGACTACCCAAGATTGCCCTGCGAGTCTGCGCCTCAGGCACGCCAAGAAAATAATGGTCTTTATATTGTATTTCACGTTTATTTTGGGTTTTGAGCTCCCATTTCCCCACGACGGTGGAAACATGGGGCTTTTTCCAGGCATTCCCCGCCTTCTACTCGGTGTTATGCTAGGGCTTCCGTTAAGGCTAGGTCCATGGGAAGTCAGCGAGCTGCCTTCTGCCCTACCCCCTAAAGCCCATTCAGGTTCGGGATCCAGGATCTGGGATCCAGGCTCCGCGCTGAAATGGAGGTCCAAATATTCATGTGGTTGGGCTGGTTCTTGGCCAATCAAGATCCACGCTAGCCTCAAACAGACCAATCAGAACAGCACCAGTGCTGCTGCAGGAGCATCTGGATCTGTAGTCTAGGTCCCAGGCAGTGAGCTGGTTCTCACACCTGCCTGGGTTCCCGCTGTCTTTATGAAGCTGCCTGGGTCCCTCTGCCCAGCCAGAGCACATTTCATTCCCTGGGCCGAGTTTGACTTGCAGACCTGCCTTGCTAGGCCTGCCTTATGCCTGCCTGCCTGCCTCCCTCTCCCTCCGTCCCTTCTCTCCCTTCTCTCTCACCCTGAGCCATGACGTCCCCTCCCAGTCCCGCCATTTCAGACGAGAGCCCCTTCCAAACTAGTCTGTCCCAGATCTCACCCTCTCAAGGCCCAGACTGAGTCCCTCCCAGAGATAGCCTTGTGTCCTTTCAGTGACAGGTTTAAAAGACTCAACCTGTGGGAGTGAATCCTGGTGGGATTTTAGCACAGTGATGGACTGATTATTTGGAATTATCTAAGGCCAGTTTTTAGATCCAGGGAAAATCATTCTAAGGGAGGGGCTGTCACCTCAATCTATATTTGGGGTCAACAGGGAGAGTCTGATGCTTTCTTCAGGCAGACAGTAGCAGTGAGTTCTGCCAGTTCTCATCCTGGGATCCCGTGAGGAGGAAGGTGAGTGATGATGGACAGGGGCAGCTCTGATTTGGACCTGGGGAGTGGGCTCTGTGTGGCCTTGAGCAAGTCACATCCCTTCTCAGACACAGAGATGCATCTGCGAAGTAGAGGTGAAAGCCTGGGGCCTGCCTCTCTCTCCAGAAGGCCTTTACTGCAGTTACAAAATGGAGCTCAAATCGCAGTTCAGAGCATGGGGGCATTTTACAGGAGACAAGAGGTCTCAAGCTGGTGGCCCATGGGCCGAAACTTGGAAATAGATGTAGGTTTTGTTTTTGTTTTTCCTAATGTGGTGTTTTTATATTTTTGAATTAGACATTCACATTTAAGAACCGGCAGATTTCACTTCCAAATTCCAATTTTCATTTTTTCTTGAAAAATTAGAAACTGTGGTTGCACTGACCCATATTCCTGCCTGGCCACCTGTCGGCTGCAGCTGGGAAGTGGCCACAGCCTTTGGGCCAGGCTCCAGCTCTCCAGCTTCTCACAGCCCCTCCTGGCCCAGCAGACTCCTTTACCCGATCTGCCTGGCTCTGGGATGGCCCTGCCCAGGCAAGTGTGGCCAGTGCTGGCCTCTTGACTGTCCAGGTCCTCGGCTCTGGCGTCGCTATGGCAATGTTGGCTGAGGGGGAACCTGGTGACCAGCAGTCGCTGTGCCGGCCAAGGGGACAACAAGGAGCTGGTGAAGCCCTGACGCTGATGTGTTTCTCGGCCCTTCGGCCCTTCAGTTCTCTGCTCCCCCAGGACAATAAATAGCGGGGGCCAGGTATCAGAATCCAGCCAAGCCTCAGTTTCTTCGGCTGTCAGGTGGCCAAAGTTCGCACCTCTGACCACATGCTTTGTCCCTGGCTTTGCACCAGGACTGGGCGGTATTGTTCAGAGTAATGAGGGCCCAGACTAAGACCTTTGAAATCAGAGATCCCCACCTGCCCCCTGGACTGCCAGGCTTTGGTACTTACTGAGTGGCCGTCTCTTGGGAAATCACCATCTCTCTGTTTCCTTCTATGAGAAATGGAGACGTTTACACCCACCTGGCCACGTTCACACCCACCTTGCTGGGGAGACCAAGTCTCCAGGGCCCCCAATTTAGCGTCCAGGGAATAAATGTGGTTCCCTGTCTGTCCAGCAGGTGGCACCAGGGATCATGTAGTGCTCAGAGGTTGAGGTTATGTCTGTCCTCATCCTGCAGGGTCCTGCCTACCAGCTTCCACCCCAAACGCTGGCTCCCAGTTGCCCACATCTGAGACAGAGGCATCCTGGAGGCGGGAACTGGGGCTGTCTCGATGATGAGCTCTGGCCCTTCTAGGCTGGGCTCGGCCTGACTTAGTGTGAACATTTTCTCCATTTGTTTTTTCATTTTTCATTTCTCTCTTGATTATTTTTGTCATTTTCCCTCCGTTTCTTTCCTAGACTTTCCATTTTTTTCTTTGTCCTATAACGTATGTCTGAGAGCTAGACTCATTCTTTCCTTTTTCCTTTTGTGCTTTTCCTTCTCTTCTTTCTTCCACGGCAATTGGATGGATGAAAAGGGAGCAAAAAGCCTTTGTTAGCGGTAAAGTGAGGTGCTTGAGGGTGGTGACCAGGAACCCACAACTCCAAACGTGCACCGCCCCACCTCTCCCAGAAATCACGACCCGCGTGGAAAGCGCTGACCACCAGGTGGCGCTGTGCGCCAGGATGTCCAGGCGGGGCCTCAGAGCACCTGGGCAGCCGTTGTTGTAAGTCTCAGAGCTTTGGGGCTTTTGTGGGAGAAAGCTGCTGCTCTCTGGACACTGGTACCATCCCCTAGAGAGGTGGGGATGGTCGGGAGAGGGCTGTAGGGATGAACCTGACCAGGCAGCAGGGCCTGAGTTAGAGTCCCCTGTCGTGCTGTGTGACACAGGGCCCTGCCCTTCTCTGTGCCCCAGTACCTCCACCTATGTAAAGAGTGCATACAACTCAGCTCCTCATCCTCTGGCCAGCTGGCCTCTCCCAGACTTCTCCGAAGGACCGATAGCAATGTTCAGTATCTCTCGTGTGTTGAGCACTTAATATCTATCACGTACTTCACTGGGTCACTTAAAGGCATGTCATATGATCCTCTTACCAGCCCTTCAAGGCAGGTGCTACTAAGGCCCCATTTTACAGAGGAGGAAATATGCTCAGGTAGTTTAAGTGACTTATGCATGACCACACAACTCAGAAATTCTGGCCCCTGGTGCAGTTACAGGGCTGTGGCATCAACATGACCTTTAGCAAGTGGGAAGCGCAGTGGCCACTGGATTTTGTAGACTCCCTGCCGAGGCGCAGCATGGGAGAATCCGGCTTTGATCCTAGAACTTGGCAGAACTAGGGGCAGAGGAGGGGAAGGTTGAAGAGGTTGCCTTACCAGCAAAAGGACTGCAGGCTGTCCCAGGCAAACAGAGGGTGCTGTGCTGCCTTCTTGCCGTGAGCACTGCCTTGGGGGTCTTTGCACATGGTGTTCCCAAGGCCTGGAACACTGTTCCCCCGGATGGCCTCATGCTGTGCTCCCCACCTCCTCCATCCTTTCCTGTTACCGTCTCGCCTCTCTACCTGTTTTTTCTCCGAAGCATTTACCACCATCTGGCAGAATCTATCATTTGTTCATTTTCTGTCTCTTGCATGACAAGTTAAGCCCTGCAAAGGCAGGGATTCTTGTCTGTCTCCTTCGTTAGTGACCCAGATCATCAGGATATGGTGGGAGGGGGCTCTGACGATGGAGCAGCCTCCTGGGTCCCGACACCCTCTTCTCTGCACATGGAGGTTAAAGGTGCAGGAGGCGGGCTGAGTGACTTTAATGCTGAGACCCACGCTGGCTCTGACCTGCCCCCCCATATGTCCCAAATGACACGCCTGTTGTCCAGGTGGTGGGAGGGGAAACCCACTCAAGGCCCAGCAGCCCCATATGCATAAGAAGGAGGTGACTGTGGAGTGGAAAAGGTCGTAAGCCCCAACAGTGGCTGTGCCTTCACTGGCTGTGACAGTTCTAGCCCTGACTTGGCCTTGCCTCTGGGCTTTCTGCTCTGTCTTCCTCGCTGTCACCCTTGCCAGGGCCTCATCCCTTGTAAGAAGTCGGGATGGAGCTAAATGTCCCCATAAGAAGATTCCTCTGTCAGGCCTGGTCTGAGTCACTGGGTGCTGGGTCTGATTTGGCAGGAGGGCAGGATGATGCAAAGCCACCTTGGGCCGAGGAGACCCACCCTGTCCCGAATGTGTCCTCACCCAGCATTCTGGCACGCAAGAGATTTACAGAAACCCTTATGTGATTCTAGGTCTGGCTTAGCCACCCACTTGGGCCCACCTCTGGCCCTCCCTGAAATCATTTAACAAATATTTATTGAAGGCCTACTGGGTGCCAGGCCCCATTCTAGGACCAAAGTCACATCAGCGAAGTGCACGTGGAGTTTATCTTCCGCTGCGAGGTGACAAGCCAATAAACATATGGGTAAGTATTTATCAGATCAGTACCAATAAGATATATCCAGCAGGCGGGAGAACAAAGACAGACGTGCGGGCTGTTTTACTGAATGGTCGGGGAAGGCGTCGCTGGGGCCGACCCTTGGGTGGAGGAGACCTGAGGAGGAGGCGCCATGGAGACGGCTGGTTCCAGGCAGAAGAAGCAGCAGGTGTAAAAGCCTGGAGGCGAGAGCTCTCCTGGTGAGTCGGAGGAGCAGTGAGAAGGCCGCTGTGCCTTGAGGGTGGTGGGAGGCTATGGCATCAGAGCAGGCAGGGACCAGGACACATAGGTGCCTGGCAGGCTTTGGCGTTCATGC